TGTTTCACTTGGCCGTGGGTTTCCATGATTCATCCATGGTGCCATTTAACGTCCATGGTCAGACCATGGTCAACCATGGACAATATCACGGACAGATCACGTATGTCCATGGTTAATGTCCATGGTCTGACCATGGTCTGACCATGGACATACATGGTCTGTCCATGATCCTGAGACCAAGGTGTGTTTGCTTTTGGAATGCCATCATGGCAGCTGATGTCCAGACTGTCATGGTGATTCCACACTTGACTTCCCACAGGTTCTCCAATCACCCATCTGCTTTCTATAACCTGTTCCAGGTATGAAGCATGTGGGAAGCACACTCATATCGTTCTCCCCCAACATGTTGGGCATATGTATGTGCTGCTCGTGTCCAGCAGCACACAATATAAAAACACTATTCATAGTTTGGGCTTATTTAGAGATATTCATCTCTGAAATTGTTGCTGCTGACACACAAATGTAGTATTTGCTGATCGAAGCAATAATTAATAATTAAATTATATTACAATAGTTCTACATTTTAAAATACATTGTACAGTTCTATATATTAGATAATACAAAACTACAAGGTGCATTTTTTATTTAAATTACTTTTAGCAGACAAAAAATAATAATAATAATAATAATAATAATAATGGATTACATTTTTTATTACAGGTGCTCAAAGCGCTTTACAAATACACATTACACATATTAGACATGTAAGAGTCATTACTGTGGACAGGAGCAAATGCGGGTAAAGGACACAACGGCCTGACGCAGTGGCGGCCGAGGCGGGATTCGAACTAGGAGTTCACCAACGCCCCTTGATCTGATGACCAACGCTCTAACCACTGCGCCAAAACCACCCCAAATAGAATCCTTTACCAACAGCATGCATCTGAAACAAATCAGATAGAGTTGCCGAGTGGAAATGCAGACGGAGTGGAGCCAGACTCCAACACACAATATATACTCCTCACAATTGTAATTATGAAAATAAGCTGTGCAATTTCCCCAATAGCAATAGCAGCTGATAGACACTGAACATCCTGTGAAATGAACCATCTGTCTCACTGCTACTTTACCCAATCAAAGCCACTCCACCATTAATTAGCAGCTCCAGTGATTTCAGCACACAATCATTCAAATAAATCCAGTATCAGTCGATCTATGAATAGAACCAGAACCAAGGAATCAGACTTTTTGTATAGGCTTCATGTGTTTTACATAACAGTATGATTGGTATCAGCTAAGAAAATATCAGTGGATAATGCTCCAGCAGTTAAATCCAATTACATTTTAGCTCTTCTGCAATAATACACACATAAATAACTTGGTGTCTTTTCCTGTTTGGATCTGCGCTCTCAGCATCCTTCGTAGCTGTGTAGGGAATAGGGAGAGGCTTTATTTCTTCCCAGTGCGAAATCATCCATGGCTCTCAGATCCCGCCCACACTCAAGGTCATTTCCTAGGAAAAGTGCAACGCTAAATAAAGCCTGACCAGCCCTCCAACCCAGACAATGGACTCAGAAATTTAATCTGAGGACAATAACTTCAAAACAATTGAAGTAAATCACAAGTGACTGGGAGCACTTTCCATGAGCGTGTGCGTGGGTCTTCATACAATCCGGGCTTTGTTAAAACAACTGCACTTAATGCAAACGAAGGGGCCCGGGGCCATGCTTAGGGGGGCGTGGGCACTGCTAGAAATAAGGCTGGGAGATCAACAGTCTTTCTTCTAGCTGAACACACACACACACACACATACACACAACAATAACAACAAATATGTGCATGCGGCATCATGACCCTAATGCTGTGGAGTCAGAGAGACAATTTCCAACGGTCACACAGAGAGTGAGAAAAAGTGCTGGATTTCAAAATGTCATCATAATCTAAAAACTGAAAAGAATTGCATCCTCAAAAGTCAATATTGTTGGCGGTGCAAGTCATGAGATCACACTGTCAGTTAGTAATATTCATCAGCATCAATGACAACAAAAGATATACAATTCTACTAGGGATGGCAAACATACGGCCCGCGGGCCGGATCCGGCCCGGGAGGCATTTCAGCTTGGCCCACGGAGCTGAAGGGCTTTGCTAAGTAGGCTATGAGAGGAGGGAAAAAAACTGCTATTTTGTTCATGGAGAAAAAGGGTAAGCCAGTGTATGAATTAAAAAACCCAGAATGGCTGCAGGACCTTGCATTTATGGTGGACATTTCAGAGCACCCAAATAATCTGAACATAACGATGCAAGGTCGCAAAAAAGTTGTCACAGAATATTATGACAGCATACGCGCATTTAAGTTGAAGCTGGCTTTGTGGGAGACACAGCTGTCAAGTGGTGACCCTGCTCATTTCCCTCATCTAAGAAATGTGCATATGAGTTACTGCTGACATGAGACGGTACAAAGACAAAATTACGGAATTGCTGCGGGAGTTTGAGCGGCGGTTTCAGGTCTTTGGTGAGCTTGAGACAGAGTTTGCAGTTTTTCGCTCGCCATTTGCAGTTAAGGCTGCAGATCTGCCCATCGACATACAACTTGAGATAATCGACTTACAATGTGATCAGGATTTAAAGGACAAATTTGCCTCGTTGGACTTGGGCACATTTTATCGGTATCTTTTGCCAGGATACCCCAAATTGACAGCCCTGGCAGCAAAGGTTTTGAGCATGTTTGGGACCACCTACCTTTGTGAACAGGTTTTCTCTGTAATTAACATTACTAATACAAAGCTCCGCTCAAGACTCACACACAAGTGCCTGAATGAAATAATTAAATTGGCTGATAGTCAGGATTTTAAGCTTGATATTGATGCCCTTGTGAGGGCTAAAAGATGTCAAGTTTCAGGAGCAAATTAATCAGTTCTGTGACCTCAGTTCTGTGAAAATAAGAACCTACTGAAATATTTGAAAATGTTATATTATTCTGTCACTGAACATTGTGTATTATAATGTCAATCAGCAGCTTCATTAGGCAAAAAATAGTTTGATTTGATGTGACACTGTGGCTGCACTGCCAATATAAAAATTCTATATTTTCAAGGCAAGGGAGGTAACTCAAACTCCTCACTTAATAGCTCCCACGTTTTTATTTGTATTTTGTGGTGAGTCAGTTCAGGTGGAAACTGTGATCTGTTGTAAAGAACATGTGTGTAGCACTTGAAATTGCACTTGTTTGTCTTAATACAGTACATTTCAGTTTGTTCATAACGTTTTGCGTCTCATTACATGTGGACATTTTCCGAATGTACTTGTAGCTACTTATTTGCACTTAAACAGAAATATTGTCGTTATGTAGGGCCTGTGGGTTATTATGCTATGATGTTACTGGTCCGGCCCACTTTAGATCAAAGTGGGCAGTATGTGGCCCCTTAACTGAAATGAGTTTCCCACCCCATACTCTAGTAACTAGAGTAAGAAAAAAGGACACATTGGGTTTAAGTAATCCCATTGCAACATTTGTTTGGATATTAAAATACTAAATATATATATGTAATATTTGATAGACTGGCCTTTTGCATTTCCTTCACTCTCACTAAACCAAAGTATTGCACTATAATACAAATACAATGATATTGCACAACCTGTAGAATACTTTCTTTTTAAACATGTTTAGTTATATATGTACATAAGTATATGTAAATCTTTTTTGTATTGGTATATACAGTATGTTCTATGTGTGTATTGTGTCAAGAGGCTACAATCTACATTGTATTGTGAAAACCTGTTTTGTAAAAGAAAAGAAAACACAATTCGACCCAAGTGTTAATGCGTCTTCTGCACATTTATTCAGGATCAGATGAATCTCAAATAAGAAACGGTTGGAGAATTATCTATACAGCAAATTAAATGTGCTACAAATCAAGAAACTTCAGTCCAATGTCACCATAACACAGTCCTGCTTAATGTTCTTAATCCACCAATATACTCAAGAGATTAAATATTAGATATTAATAAGATTAGATAGGATAAAGAGTAATATTAGAGCTTTTATAAGTCATTTTCCCCCAAAACAAAAACAGATGAACCTAGTTCTATGCATCCATTTTCAGGATGTGCTGTTCCTCTTGATGTTTCGTGAATTATCTAAAGGTCTTTGGGTCTCAAGTTGGGTTTTGGGAGATAAGAATTTGTTCACAAATAATGAATAAAGTAATGAAGAAAATATGTAGTAGAGTAATCAAAATGACAGTGACAAATAAAGGAGTTTTGATTGTGATTATACTACACTGTCCTGCCCCGGTAGTCAGTAATGCTGGTGGTCATCTGTGCCGTCTTGGGCTGGGGTGTGGCTTTTATTGTTTTGGTGTGATTTCACTGGCCTGGCACTCTGTGTCAGATGCTAAGTAGGTCACTGTGACATGAGCGATGAAGCTTAACCCCATTCTGCTGCCTGTCGGCTGCACCGAGTGGACGAGAGCAGACAGCAGGCATCATCTGAGCAACAAGAAGTGGTCACCACTTTAATGACCAAGAGGTGAGTGTCTGCTACACTCAGCAGGTTTAGTTGCATTGCTGGGTGTGAAAGGGTGGCACGTCAACAGAGCATGATCCTCCTCCTCAACACAAGCATGGACACGTCCAGATATTCAGAGACATTCCTACTCATGTAGTCAGGTGAAATCGGAATGCCGTGTAGCTTGTTAACTGTCATGGTATAATGTTTGGGGAAACATCAAATATAGTGCATGTAAAAGGGTTAGTGCCACTCAGGTTTGAGATGATTTAAAAATGCTAATGGGTTACTAAAACATTCAATTAGAAACTACAAAGAAAATCTAAAAATCCAAAAGATTGTGAAAAATGATAGTTTTGGAGTTCGCCGCTTAAAGGAATTTATTTCTGTGTTGGCAGTGTAACCTGAAATTATTGAAAAATGAAATGATAGATGTGTCGGCTCTATCTCCAAACTAAGCTTAGCTCAAAGACTGGAGACTGCTAACTCAAACAAAAGGGAAAAAAACACTAGTTCCATCAAGTTGTTCAAGTTGTTTTTTTGTGAGCATAATGCCCACAAATCCACCCAAGAGTCAGTGGCTTTGGTTGGCGATGGAGTTGTAACAAACCTAACCAAGCCAACGTTCTGATACAAAGTTAGAGATGCAGATCCATTCACTGACAGAGCAGCTGAGAGCCAACAAATAGATCCAGGGGTCACTGCCTCCACCCGACGCTCCGACCACATCACCCCCATCCTCCACCACCTCCACAGGCTCCCCCCACCGCATTGACTTTAAACTATTACTTTTTGCCCTCAACAACCTTGCCCCCCCACCTCAGTGACCTCATCAAACCACACACCCCCACCCGTCTCCTCAGGTCTGCTGACGCTTACCCACTGCAGCCCATCAGGACCAAGCTCTGGACCTGGGGGGACAGGGCCTTTGCAGCAGCCCCCCTCCCTCTGGAAGGATTGTTTCAGACTTGTATGGATGTAATCATTTACAAAATTCACAACATCTTTTTATCCAACCAAATATTCTGCCTTAGTCGAAATAAGCTTTTTTAGAACAATAAAGTTGTTAAAAAAGTGTTTTCTCTCCCTCTTGCTGTAGGCACACACCGGCGTTACTTTATGCAAATAGAGGATTTTGTGTATTTGTTTTTTATTAGGGTCGTAAATTATGTTGACTGACGTCTTTCCAAAACATGGATGTTAACAGGTGCTGATACTTTATATCTTGGTTTACCACTGAAAACAAGTTTCTGGAAGCTGCTTAGCATGCAATGTGTGTTATCCCCTGTAATTATTTTACAGATATTTCAGCCAAAAATAACAATTCCAGTGTACAAGCAACTTGATATACATGCTCCAAACCAGATCTGGAGCATTTCTTCTTTTTTAGAATGATAACAAAAAAAGGAAGGTTAAACGACAGGGTAAGAATTGTGCCCTCATACGGTATATCTGTTGAGCAAATCAAATAATAGTATCAGATACTGCGACCAATGCAGAGTAAAAATACACGGATGGCAATAATGCATCCACTGCAGTGACACATGCAAAATCAATATTTCATTACAGCCATGGCGCCATACATAGAGTATTGTAAAAATAAGCCCACAGGAGCTCACCCCAATTCAGTTCTGACTGAAATGTTATGACGGACCAAAGTGGTTTAAACAGCTCTTCTGTCAAATATCGGCATGACCATACACAACATATTGAACATTGAGTGTCTTTTTAAAAAGACATCGTTTGCAGAAAGACTGCAGATAGAACACCACAGAGCGTAAAGGAGGGGGAAATCAAAACATTGAATAAGGATGACGTTACAGACTTCATTTAATGAAAAAACAACATATGTAAATGTATCATTTTTGGTTTGAAAAACTTGAATGGTAGGCTACTGGATACCAGGGAGTCTTCTGTCCCCAGCGGATGAACCCTCATCACTTTATCGCAAAAAAAATACCATCAGCCTCAGCTGTACTTTTGGTGCTACTTAGCATATGTTAACATGTTATCACACTAATTAAAGATGAGGAATATGTTTAACATTCTTGAAACATCAGCATCATAATATCGTCAATGTTAACATGATAGCATGCTAGGGTTAGCCTTTAGCTCATAGCATCACTGTGCCTTAAATTCACGCCGTGTCTCCAACTGGATACTCCAGACAGCACACTCGGCTGCTTCGCCCTCACCGGAAATGTTGATCACCGTACTACATCATTTCAGACTGCTGAATTAACCCAATATCCATTCTTAAAAAAAAAGTATAGTGGCATATTTAAAAAGAAGCATGTATAATTTTGTTGCTGCGTTTCATACACAGTCTAAATATTTTAGCCGTTATCCCCATATTTAACCCCATATTTTACAATACTGTACTTCTGACTTCCAAAGTAGTCAGGCAACATATAATAACTAGTATTAACTAGCATAATCTGGCCATGCTTTGTTCTGTATTTCTATCATAAACCCATCACACTCAAATCTGTAAATGCTGAGTGAAACAGGATTCCATCCACTCGTATATCATGCTTTCATCAGCCGGAATAATGTCAATTAAAGAGTATCGAGCAGATATAGGCACAGCTACATTTAGCAACACTTTAACACATTATGGACTGCCAAACTAAATGAATGCCTTTGATATTTGTCCATAGGGAAGCTGTATATCATGGTCTGTGTCCTCTTAAAACACTATACTATAGTGTTTTAAGAGTCAAAATGATCTTGCACAGGGAATTTCTATTTTGTGCTTAATGACATATGGAAATATTTTTATTTAGATTTCTGACGTTTACATTGATGTTTGAACAAGCTGAAAATAAGTATTCTATTATCAGACCTAGCTGCTGGAAATATCTCCCTGTGATGTCATGCTGTCTACATTTGGCCAACACAACCACGGATCAAAAATGCATCGTTTCTATCAGGACAGCAGAGGCGGCGTCACGCCATTTCTTTATAAATGTTTACATGGACTGCCCCCCCCCCCTTAGGGGAATTCATCAACAAAAAACACACTGGACGCTGCACTAGGTCAGAAACCAGAGGAGACTGTGAAGTCCACCGCAGACGGACCACTTTTGGACAAAATGTCCTCTCCATTAAAGGCAGCTCTTTCTGGAATAGCCTCCCAACTGAGATACGGGATTGTCCCAGTCTCAATAGCTTCAAAGGTCAACTCAAAGAATGGTTGAGAAACAAACAGATGTGCAATCACCGCTAAATGCACATTAACACAGGGGTATCTCCTCTTGCACTTTATGTATCTCTTGTATCTTGTCTTGCACTTTATATGTCGTTGCTGCTATATTGTATTGCCATGTGGTAAATACTTGTGTATGCTGCTCTTGCTCTTTCTGCATATCATGTATTTATTTTTGCTATGTATACAAATGTCATGTTCTTAAATGTTGTATGTCAGGGACTACGGATGGAAATTAGCTCAAAGCTCAAATCCGGCATATTTACATTTGAAGCATTATTTTTTTAAAGTGTTCATCAATGTGCATTGCCCCTATTCAAATAAATAATTAAATGAAAAACATAAATAAACTACAGCCGAGCATAAACCCAGATGTTTGTTTTGCATCCACTCAGAGCCTTTAGTGAGGAGCTCTGGCTCGGAGCCTTATATTGTGTTTGTAGGAGCGCTTCATCACAGCAAACACTTCCTCACACTCACACTGAGTGTGATCACATGTGGGATTGTTGGTGCTTTTCCTGAATCCTAATGATAGAGTTGACATTGATATTAGTGAGTAAGAGGCTCTGTGCAGTGACAGTCTACTCCCCTGCACAGAGCCACTTCAACCCCACCCAACCCAAACTGTGTCGGACTTCATTCATGCAGCTGAACAGGGGCAAATCCCTGCAGCCAGGTCCAGAAATGTTGTGCATAGCTTTCCCAGATGAGGGGAGGCTGTGATGTTTCATCGAGAGTCAGATCAAAAACCACTCATGGCTGTGCGGTATACAAAGATAGGGTAAAAAGCGGAAACAGCTAGCTTGGCTCTGTCCATAACAAAATGAAGATATATCATTTGCCAACAACAAGTATCAAACAAGGGCAGCAACATACAGATTTCTATACACCTTGTTCTTGTGCATGCATACCATTTTGGCCAAGTCATGCACTGTTTTTTATGATCATTGTATTTTTAGCTCTCAGTTAAGCTACAGTATCTTTGCTGGATTTCGGTCCGACCAAGACGAGAAATGGACCTGAAAATGAACCATGTTTGATGAGTTGTCATGCATTGACTGTGACATTCTTTTATGAACATCTCCAAGCTTGACTCCCCAGGGTGCATCTCTCTTGCAGAATGAACACCCACTGGGTTACATTTTCATCAAGATACTAGGGTGTCTCTCTGCAGCTTGTGGGCTCTAAACAAATCAAAGGACTATCTAATGGGTTCTGTTGTCATTGCCTTGGGTGTCCCGTAGCAGTGGACACAACAAAAGCCCGGACCCGCTCTTCCTCAGCTAGATTGCTCATTACTTAATGGAAAAGATACCTTAAGCGGCATGCTGGGGGGTAGGAAAGCTGACTTAACATAGTAAGACCCAGTGATAAGCTCCTGGGGGGGCTAGGCTAGGCTAACAGGGTTAGCAGTGGCCAGGCATGGGCTCAGACTGTCTGAGAAGGACTGTATTAGGTTTGGAGGTCTTCCTGCACCTTCACCTACATCCCATTAAACCCACATCAGCTCAGGTCCTCTAACATCAGAATGACATTTTGTGTTTCCAGTGAAGAACTGGTGGGCTTAATTAGGATTTAGTTTAGTTAAGCTTAAACTGTGACTTCTTCTGGGCATGACAAAACCAATCCTCCACACATTGCACATTGACTCCAGCAGCAGCATTCCTTCTCATGGTTAGAGGCAGAAAGTGCAGCCGCTATTTTTACCAGGTCCCTAACCCACACACACAGCTTCTTTTCCAAGTCACAGTTCATGAGTCTCAACTGCATGTCAGGTATGCCATGTGTTTTCTAGAATTGAAGGAGTTAGCAGGGTCTCAACATTTTGCTGCTTCCAGGGCGGCCTGTGAGATGATGGTCTCATCCACTCCCAACAATGATCCTGCAGGGCTAAGGCGTTATGGTGAACATAATGTCTGAGCAAAGCTGAGCCCAGAACATCTTGTCTCAGTCCTTATGGGATAACAAACACTCACTCACACCAGACAGTCTGTTTGGGCAGGCTACGGCCCTTTTGCTTCTAAAGATAGTACTCCTTCATAAAGCTTCAGACTATAGGCAGTTCCATGGCATATTTTACAGAGGCCATGTCTGGCCAAAAGTAATGTTTGTACACTTTCAAATACACAATTAAGGTATCTGTCGAATCGTGCAGTTGCATGCAATAAGTCCAATAATCGAGACAGTGGAAGAACAGCATCCCTGTATTCGGAAGGGTACAATTACTGTTACTTTCAATGGAGTCTGGGGTCTTTGGCCAATATCAAAGATACCGGCTGTAAGTTCCCCATGAGAGGGTTGTACTTCTGCAAAGCGGTGAAAATAACGTAGTGTACGCATTAAACTGATATTAATACTTTTTTGAGTGGGCCATTCTTTTAGGTGGTTAAAATAGCCATCCGTCCACAGCAGTAAATTGATCAGCTCAAGTAACTCAAGTATACTACTCCAAACAGGGGGCATGCAGACCCCCATCTACACTAGGTAATACAATAATTAGGAAAAAGTACCTCATACAAAGCTACCTAAAAACATCCAAACTATTCCTTTGAGTGACTACTAAAACTACATTTAGCTACAAACAACAATGTCTAAATACAAATTCAATCCAATAAGTAAATGCTGAGGTGACCTGAAACACAGCACAGAATATTACCCATGTCCTTATTTTTCAAATTAAAAGTAAGTATACACATTTCCAGTAATGGCTACCAGAGGTGAAAGGAGGGAGCGTACCTGTCACAGAGGCTGTTCACGGCCCCGGAGGAGTCGCAGGCGCAGGGCATGCAGCCGCTGGTGCCGTTGGTGTAGTGCCCCTCCTCACAGTCCTCACACTGCAGACCAGTGTAGCCCGACAGGCATGAACACTGACCCGTGTTGTGATCACAGTCGTCCGGATCCCGAACCCCCTCAGCACCACTGCTGCAGTTACACACACTCTCTGGGCCATGAACGGGGGGTGTGGGGGGGGGGGGCACAGTGACAGGAAGAGACAAGAAATTTGAAAATGTTGCATGAGATGTACCAGCAGTGGTATAACTACAGAATGATGTGCAATATATACTTATTTATATTATACATAATATTGTTCAAAAAACTCAACATGTATGGCCATATACTGTGACAGGCAGGGTCAGCTTAGTACTGTTTCCCAGTGACATAATGATGTTTAAACTGTCAGAATATAGTACTGACATTAGAATAATATCTGAAAATAAGTTTACTTTAACTGAAGCCTTTATTTTATTCTGCCTAGACATTCTGCAGAATTCAAGACAGCATTTACTGTTTCCTGCCTGGTTTACATTTGCACAATAGGAACAGTGATGCACTGTGTTTGGAAATGGAGAACTCATTATGCTGTTCTCTTAAGTACGATATTACAGTGCCAGACTAACAGTCCATAGACACAAGAATATTGCAATCAATCAATCAATGTTCCCAATATCAAGTTATTCTACACACTGCATTTGTGACATCACATCTGTTTTTCAGGGCTGTGTGCAGGGAAGTCACATAGAAGGAGGGCATGCAAGTGTGACCAGACCCAGGAACAGTAAGACAGGAGCTGATCATGCACCCAGCCGTCCCCTGAGCTACTTAAAGCTGCAGAATGCATTCACAGAATTCCTGTACTATCGGCCCTTCCCAGTACAACACCAGAGTTGCTAATTCCCTTTCCTCTAACATATCCCTCTCACCCATCAAGGAATTAAAAAAATCTGCATTTTCAGAATGAGCCTGATTCTAACGGCTTTGCTGTAGTGATTCCTAAACTGCGGTACACACACCACTGGTGGTACTGGTAGTGGTGTGCACCTGAATGGTAGAAAAAAGCTTATTACTGAAAAACCTGGCCTAAGTCTCTAACTTAAAACCAAAAACTATTTGATTTATTATAATTGTTTACTGACACGGTTATTTCTTACATACATACATCTCATTACAGTATGTACAAAATATTGTTATTCATTTAAATATTTTAGAAATAGAATTGGGGTGGACATGACAACTTGCTATGACGTATGAAAAAGCATGAATTAATAGTGCAGTTGGTTTTGGAATTATTGCAGAACGAGTGGAATTTTGAAAGGTTACAAGGTCCAGAAAACAGTTGAGGGGCAAGTCAAAACGAGAGAGCCGAGTCTGACCATTTCAATGCTAGAGAGTTGCAGAGCAGGGCAACTTCTATCAAGAAATGTGGGACTAACATCACAGGCCCGGGGAAAGCCAAGGCTGTTTCCAGGCCCTTCCATGGGAACAGTGTTTGTCTGTATCTGCAGTGGGAAGCTTGGGACATTTGGTTTGGCACATCCTTTCACAAGATCTGAGGACTTTGGGAACCTCTGCTATTCAACATAAACAACTTCATGGTAATTTTTTTTCAGTCAGCATTTAAATAGACCACAATGCCCTCAAATCCGTTTTATAATACAAGATCATATTTTGTATTAGAGGAATTTGCCTAATTTGGCCAGTCTAAAAAAAACTAAAGATGGTAGACCTGATGAATCAGTCCAGAACTGTGTTGCCAATGATGGATTCTGTACAGTTTGAATGTGACATTGAAGCGGAACACCACTTGTAAAGAGCTTTATTGTAGTGTTGTGAATGATCAAATAGAAGCCGTACTGAACATCCACCTCTCAGAGTCATCTATAACATCTGGTACGATTCATTGTTTTTAAATATCAGTTTAATAATGTATTCTTCATGCTACAACACATTTTAGTTAAATCATTCGTATTGAAGATTTGGGCAGTTTTTGTTAATTAATATGTGTTGAATGTCTTAGACCTTAAGAATGTTTGCATTAGGAAAAAGGCTGTAAGAAACCAGAGATATAACGACAGACATGTGGATGACCTCGCAGAGTACGGAGTGGCATCTATTATTCATCTGATCTTAGGCTAGGTGTGGTGAGTGATGACTGAATGCCTGAGTATACGTGTCTCCATTCTGGGCTCAGACAGATAAGAGCTTCCAGACCAAAGTAAAAAAAGAAATGATGAATGGTATACACACGGATTTGACACAATACCTCAGCTAGCAGTTAGATGGAGAGGACCGGGCAGCGACAGAGTTATATTCTATTCCTGTCCCAGTCAGATGATGCTTCCCTTAGACTGTTGCTTGGACTTTTACATAACTAAGAAAAGCCTGTGGTTATGCAACTCTGTGCAGTAAACTGTCAGGCCCTTTGCTACAGTGACGTCCACCAGAGCACTGTCCGCCGATCACGCCTGAGAATATGTGATATCCAGTGAATCGACTTCCACACTGCATTCAGGCCTCCTGTAGGTGTGGGGTATGTGGCCATCTTTGAAGCCGAAGGTTTGATGTATATTGGACTAGACCTGTGTAGTCGAGAGGGAAGGGGGGGAACTGAGTTCCGCTCTCTCCTATCTGACTGCTGTGAGGTGGTGTGAAAGCATGACTGCTATTGAGACACAGGCAGCTGCAGGCTGTTCAGAACAGGTTGTGGCCCAAAACTCCTCTCTTGCCTAATTCCCAGCACCCCTGTCTGTGCTGCTGCAGAGAAAACAACAGCGGTTGAAGCGTTATTCTGCAAAGAAACAATCGCTCTACTTTACATTTTGGTTAGGGAATCAAACCTTGTTTAACCTTTAGAGAGTTCCTCCTGGAAAGCATGTGAAAACACACCTTACATCTGTCCTCGCGCCCCCTGCCCTGCCAGTATACGTATAGCAGGGCGCTCGGCGAGGCGTTACCCCAAGTGACGTTTTTGTTGTTCTGATGTTATCATGAGACAGCCTTTAGACTAGAACAATGAACAGTGATGAGGTTTCTGGTGACACTTTCAATAAGGTATGGGGAAATGTTTCATGTGTCATGGGGCAGGTTGCATTTTGGCCTCAGGGCTTAAATGAAGCCAATACAGAGGAGTGATTTAGTAGAGAATGCTAAACCCGCAACCATTTCAACTCAATGACCTGCTGAACGACCTTAACATACATAAACTGAAATAATTATGCCGATCGATAGTTGGGCTTCAACAATTTTGTATTCATTATTTATTAATCTGGCCCTTATTTTCTTGCTAGGTCTATAAAAGGTCAACCAATGGTTGGAAAAATTGCGTCATAATTTCCTTAAACCAAACGTCTTCTAATGGCTTGTCAGCCCAAAACCGAAATAAATTTAGTTTTATGACATATAAGATCATCAAATATTCACAAAGGAGAGATTGCAAATAATCGGTGTTCAGCATAATTGCAAAAATCCAACAAGAAGATAACCATTAAACAGAAGTGTTCAGAGGGTTCAGAGGGATATCAGCGCCAGATCAAAACCATCTAAATCTGTTCACACAAATCCCACCTGACTATTAGAATATTCTATTGTACATCTGGAGATCATTAACCAGACACTCAATGTGCATTTTGTGTAGTATTATGGAGATCAATCAGACCCTTCATCTTCATAAACATTAGAACCCACTACCAAAAATGAATCCCCCTTCTATCAATGCTGACAGTAAGGTTATACACATTGAGCACAAAGGCTCAATGTAAAACACATGACTGGATGAACCCTTGATGTGAGGGGCCAATATCAGTCAAAATATGAAATAAAACCGATGTGTTGTGTTTTTTTTATTCTGGCTGAGAGGCATTATGGAGTTACAACTAAGTACACAGCATTTTGGAAGACATCCATTGATTTTATACATGTTAATCAATTTGCTTTGAATTTCTGAAATGGTTTGGGAAATGCTCCTACTATTGTATGTAGTTTAGGAAGAGGAAGCTTCTTCCCCTTATAGCAGGTGGGAACACAACTGTTACGGGTACTGAGTGTGTATCTTTTGATTTGTATGCATGCTTCTTAATTCATATTAAGCTATAGGCTCGTTACATGCTGTAAGAATGTAAAGTTCCCCTCTGTGGGACGAATCAAGGTATTCTGATTCTGAATAATGAAATGCTTGCACAGACGTTGCCACACATTAAAGAAGCTCTGCTGAGGTGGAGGAGAACAACACATCCACATGAAGACTGGGGTGCTGAGGTGGAGGAGAACAACACATCCATCCACATGGAGACTGGGGTGCTGAGTTGTGAGAGGAGGGGCTCCACAGTCATTGCTCATTCATGGCTTGGCCTGCCTGGCCATTTTGGTTTAAAGGGCCTTGTTCTGCGTCTGCCTTGCAACCAACAAAAGAGGGGATGCAGCCGCTATCTGGGCAGCTTCTTTGATTCTCCTTCCATATAAAACACGCCTAACACAAAGGGATCGCCGGTCTCCGTGGATACTGTCTGCAGGGACGGTTTGGATACATTGACGGAACAACAACAGGATCATACTTGCGCCCCTACAGCCCCCCTTCCTAGCCCACTGTAATATTTGAAACACATATCGTATGATAAAGGCCCTCTGGAATATAAAATATGCTACACAGCAAAGACATTGAAAATATTTGAGAATAAATTGTTTTTTGAATGTGATACGATGGGATTTGGTGATTTCCCGATTTTCAGTGGGTTCACCGTCCAGTCTGAGAAGTCTGCCTATTGTTGCAATCTGGTTTATTCGGTCCTTCTCTGCGTCAAAACCCCTGTTAGACCACCCTGCTGCTACTACTACCAGGCTAACATATACATGGCTTTCTATTCACAGAGTCGTTTTTCTTAACATGAATGTGCCAACACAAAATACGACAAAAAAGACATGCAATTCATTTTTATATCGCTTCATTTCCAAAAGCTTCTTTCTTTTCCCCTTTAAATCTGAACGATCTAGTTTGAACTGTTTTGGTTGCTTTTTAATTCAAAGGTAACGTTACTCACCTTGACTATTCTCTATTGAGGTAACAGATGTGCCAATATTATCTGCTGCCCAGGCATCGTTGGCTGTGCGCTGGGAAACCATGGACACCATGGTCTGCAGCCTTTTCTCCGGAGAGAAAAGTGAGGCTTGTGCATCGGTGGATCTTTTGCCTGCGCCGTTTAATCGGGAAATCGGCGCAGTTAAATGTTCTTTTGTGGCTATGATTATTCCAGTATCAGGGGCGGCAGTAGAAGGAGTGGTGGTCTGGTCCGCTGTTGGAGGCTGAAAGGTGTTTAGCGTTTTCGAAATAGAACTGGTTATGGTGGTCGGGCCGGCAGAAACAATAGCAGGCTGCGGGTTGAGGCCGGCTAGAGGCCCGAGTGCCAGGCTGCTCTCGGGTACAGAACGAGGCATGTCGGTGAAGAAGGTCTCCCAGGTGTCGGAGGCTGAGCCGGGCTTCCTGGAGATAGGCGACGCATCGTAGGGACTGATGCGAGGTGCAGCTTCACAAAATCCAATATATACATACAAAATAAATAGCAGAGCCGGAGATATGTACATAATTAAGGACGTTAGCCTCATATTCACTTTCAGCTCTCCATGTAAGCCCCAGTAGTGGTCCCTCTCAGACCTTTCCCTGAATAGACGCGTACTCCACCATTGATGTCCCCGGCGGCGTACGCTGCGGTTTGTTGCCCTATGAACCACAGTCAACACTTCACCTGCTCTACAACCTACCATGGGCCGCCCGAGACTGACGTAGTCGTTAGCCAATGGGAGCCCTCCAACATTGCCCGTGAGGGCCCGCTGGTTGGATAATCTTCCTAACAACTTGTGAGAAATCATATTGTAAATTATCAAATGTACTCACCCCTCTGAACATTTTCCACACATAAATGGTTCCACTCAGAAACTGTATTACTGTAAGAAATTATATTGTTAAAGATAGTGTGCCTTCTAGAAACACTTAGGACTGGTCTACATACAGTGTTACAGTTAAACGCCTCACAGGTCCTCCCCCTTATGTCATACATGCGGTGGCAGCTTGTTGCGGGATCAATGTTTATAGTGAAAGGTCCAGAACCTTCCTTTGTGTACGCTTTCAGACCTCATTCTATGTGAATGTATTCTGAAATCACTCACTAAATGTGAAATTCATCTTTAATGACTGCCTGGTCAAATAAAGCAGCATCCTCCTCACTCCCTTCAGGTGACTTTAGGACACAACTTAGGCTACTAGCCCACAATGTATTTGAATTTTTATTTTTATTTAAATGTTATTTATAGGAATTGATTAAAGGAGGTTTTTACCGTGGCTATTAGGACTTGACTGTTTTTTGCAATTGTTATTTTAACACTTTAAACATTGCTTCAAACTTAGAAATGCGTGTCTGTAGGCCGCAACCCTAGGCCGCAACTGTCTCGCTCTTCACATTGTAGCTGCGCTTCTATTTTAAACCTTTGTTTTGAATGCCGTCATCGGAAGTTATAGCATGCTTATATTGTATTGACGTGTGCTGTCGTGAGTGTATGATGATGAATGTTTATTCTCCTGCAGTGGTGTTGGTGTTATGATATTCTGTCTGCATTTGTTATGTTTGCATGCATGTATAAAGAGAAAGTGGTTGGCATCTGTTTATCATCAGCCTGCACTGCCCTGCGGTGGTCACAATTTGATCTGCATATGTAAAATGAACAGTTTTGAATATGTCTGTTTCTTTAATTATTCAACAATAACATGATTGATTATGCTATTTCTTTACCTTCCCTGTTAATCCTTAATTAGCATTCTGCTTTTATTCTGCGTTTCTCGTGAAGTCAAATCTGTATTATTTTAGGTAGGTCTACAGTTCGTTTTGTTGTCATACACACAAAGCGATGCGATGTTTAGAGAGAACAGCTTTGAGGTCCGTGCAGAAAGCAGAGCAGTGTGTATAATATATATCACTCAGTATAACAGGCCTACATTACTCTCTTTAATTGCTTAAGTTTAGTAGATATCTACAAACAAAGAGTAGATATTTGTCTAAAACCATTTAGTGCTTCACATAATATTAATAAAATAATATCCAGGGGATGCATGCAGAGCTGTCATGGCTGAGATAAGTCCGGCCGTGCGTCACGACTCTTTTAGACATCACTGTTGTCGGAAATGCATCCACGGAGGAGCCGTGGAAGACCGTGGAGGACCCATCAGTGTATCCTCGATTATAGCTCCTCCAGAGAGCCTCCTCCAGAGAGCCGCATCTGCGCTCGAATCCTCGGTCCTCGATGTGCATTTAGAGAAATGAGATGTCCTTCAACATGGCGCGCCGAAAACCATTTCCGGGTCACTACCGGAGGACAGAGGATTCGAGGAGTCGAGGAGGGGAAATTAGTGAAATGAGAAAGGCCCATGGGCCGTTTTTCAATCGCGAGGAAACTGGCTTCCAAGCCAATATTTCAAGGATACTACGTCATCGAGGGCCGCCGAAGGACTGTTCCAATCTCCAGCATACTTGGAATTCCACCGAGGCCGCGTCCTTGGTTTGGGGGTAATTTCGAGGCTGCACATGGGTAGACTTCACGTCCTTATACACACTGCTCTGCTTTCTGCACGGACCTCACAGCTGTTCTCTCTGGAAACATCGCGACGCGATGAAAGCAGTTTCTAAAATAATATCCGGGGAATGCATGCAGAGCTGTCATTGGCTGAAATAAGTCCGGCCGTGCGTCACGCCTTCACCGTTTCCGGAAATGCATCCGCGGAGGAGCCATGGAGGAACCATCAGTGTATCCTCGGTTATAGCTCCTCCAGAGAGCCTCCTCGACGCTCGGTCCTCGAAGTGCATTGAGAGAAATTAGATGTCCTTTAACATGGC